GAGTAGTTTAATCACACCTTTTTATGTACTTATTTTATTTAATGTATTGGGGTGCATTGGTTAATAAAATTATATAGGTTTCAGGTGTTCAATAACCATACCTTCTTGCCAAGTGTGTCCCATTACGGTAGTTTAGGTGGGTAGAATTTAAGGTACACACAGATGTTGAAACCTGAAGCCAGTGTGGTCCCCCAGAGCCTGGAACTGGGATGAAACTGAGACCTTCACTTCATTGTGCACCCTGTGCTCCTCCCAGCTGAGGGCGGTGCAAAGCTGAGGCTTGTTTCTTCCCCAACAATCCCACCCTGAGAAAACACCTGCTGACTTTGTTGTGCTTACTTCCTAGTTACATGCCAATCGGCATTTTATTCCTGATTGCCGGAAAGATCATAGAAGTTGAAGACTGGGACATATTCCGCAAGCTGGGCCTTTACATGGCCACCGTCCTGACTGGGTAGGTCAGACCCAAGAGAAGAAACCTCACTTGAACTCATGAAAGTCTGGGTTTCAGAGGGTTAACATTGGCTTTTCTTCTACGTGCAGGGGGAAATGGGGTTCAGTGATAAGAGAGCCGGTTGGGGGTAGGGAGGGGTGCCCTTTAACAGCTGTACTGGAGGTGGATTGCACTGTGCTCAGTGCCAGATCTTGGCAGAACAGCCTGGACCAGGCTTTGTCACTGCCTTTGTTAGTTGTATTCAAATAATTTTTTAAAACCCACTGGTAGCCAATCTTGGCTGTCTCCTGGTCTTCACTTCCTCAAGGATATAAACTAACCAAGCAAATAAAAATAACCCCATGTACCCTGGGCCTGAAAGAAATTAGGCAGGGCCTAAATAAAGTCAGACTCGAGCAAGTAGGAGCAGGATGGCTGGTCGGTTCCAGGACCCTGTTGGTGGGGCTGGTGACCACTGTCACCCCCTGCATCCTCACAGGGCCAGACAGGGTGCGGGGGAAATCTTCATGCTAGAAGGAATTGTGTAAAGCAGGAAGGCAGCAGGAGACAGGTCATTTGCATACTTATTAGTCCAGTTATTGGTTCCTTGAGGGGAATAGGTGATAAATGGTGCTCCCAGATATCAGCCGGGGGTGGGATACATCACATGTGCCTTGAAATATGGGCCATAGGAATGAGTAAACATCATCAATTTGACTCCCACTGGTCAATGCCCCCAAACACCCACTTAAGCAATCAGCTCACCTATTGGAACTTAATTGCATTGGGGAGTTCCCACTGCATAGCATTTACTACTTAATCTGTGTTTATCAAGAGCATAGCCCTGATGGCCAACAGAGAAGCAGCCTGGATTCCTACAGTGTGAGGGTCAGTCATATCCCAGGGCCCAGTGCAAAGGGAGGCAGGACCTCTTTGGCCCGGTTCAAGGAGGCCAGAGGCTGCGTCCAGGCAGTGATGGGGCTGCGGCGTATTATCCTGAGCCACTTCATAACGGGGTTCTGCTGGCTTCTGTTCTCTTATCCTAGCTAGGTTCCTAAGAGTGAACGAAGTCAGTTCCTCAGAGTTCTTAGCCACAAGCTCTCTATCCAGGAGACCCTCTTTCCACACCCCCGGGAGCTGTATTTTCAATGACCACTTCTTACTATTTCAGCTTCACATATCTTTAAACTCTACGCTGCCACATATATGGCATCCGCTGAATCAGTCTCCTTTCTGAAGCCCCCTGTTTTGTGTAACCCATATATTTCCATGTGGAACAAGGAATAGTTTTGGAAGACAGGAATAACAAAGAGAGTCGGTGCCAAGTATGAAAATGGAAGAGCAAGGGCTTCCTCCTCCTCATTGCAATCCTCACTTCCCTCTTAGACAGTGGGCGCCATCCAACAAAACAGCGGTGAGGCCCAGGGAGCAGAGTGGCTGAGACTGTGAAGGGCTATAATAGAGGGGCCCACAGAGTCACCAAGGAGGGAGGGGTGAGCGGGAGCTGGGAGGTTGAGGGAAGGCTTCCTGAAGGAGAGGGAAGTCTTACTGAGTCTTAGAGGAGGAGTAAGAATTCAGCAACAGAAGGAAGTGAAAGATTTTAGCACATTTAGCAGGAACAGCATGATCAGGGCTTGGAAGCATGATGTAATTGTTCTGTGAGCCCTGGAATGTGCATTCAGCTACTGGCTTTGCCAGTAACTTTGATAAGATACTTCATTTGCTGAATGAATCTCATCCTCATATGTGGACTGGAGACATATTCCTTACCCTACTTCTCATTTTCTCATTAGATCAATATGAAAGTTGAATGACATGAGAAAAGCTGTTTGAAAAAAGGATTAATATGAAGAGGTGGTATCATCCATGAACCTGTTCCTTTCTCATTTACAGGCTTGCAATCCACTCCATTGTAATTCTCCCACTGATATATTTCATTGTGGTAAGAAAGAACCCTTTCCGGTTTGCCATGGGGATGGCCCAGGCTCTCCTGACAGCTCTCATGATCTCTTCCAGGTAAATAGAAGAGGGGTGTCTAGAGCAAGTCTCTGAACCAAGCTTTTATCAACCCGCGCCTCACTTGATGAAGCAGTATCTGCAGCTTATAGTTTTTGTAGTTGCCTTTAATTCAAGAACTGATTGCCCCAGCCAGTGTGGCTCAGTTGGTTGGAGTATCGGTCCATTCATCAAAAGGTGGGGGTTCAATTCCCAGTCAGGGCATATAACTAGGTGGTGGGTTCGATCACCAGTTGGAATGCATGCGGGAAGCAACCAATTGGTTTCTCTCCCTCTCTCTCTGAGATCAATTTTAAAAAGAAAGAAAGAAAGAAATGATCCCCATAGTCTCTACCCATGTCCTTGAATGTAGTTCTTCACCCTGTGGGATGTTTCTGGCCCTCTTGGCACAGCCTGCAGCCCATGAAGAGATTATGTTGTAACTTGGAACAGTGGCAACCATAGCACCTTCTGATTCCTGAACCTGTCAAAGGTGCCAGCATCCCTGGTTAGTTTTTGGAATGGAGGTGTCTCTTCTTCAGGCAGGGACTGAGGACCAGCATTTGTAAACCGTAACGCCTTTGTCTTTTTGTCACACAGTTCAGCAACCCTGCCTGTCACTTTCCGCTGTGCTGAAGAAAAGAACCATGTGGACAAAAGGATCACTAGGTTTGTGTTACCCGTCGGTGCTACGATCAACATGGACGGGACGGCACTCTACGAAGCAGTAGCAGCTGTGTTCATTGCACAGTTGAATGACATGGACTTGAGCATTGGGCAGATCGTCACTATCAGGTGGGGGCATGGTGTCACATTCATTCTCATCTCCATTACTGGAATTGCCTCTAGTAAAAGTTGCCTGTGAGGGGAGATCAAGAGGGGTCCAGTGGTGGGTTGATTTTCTTGGTCTACAAAGTCTGTTCCCAAGACTAAGCACAGCTGTGTTACAAGCAGTGGGATCATGCACACAAGATTTCTGCTTCAAGGTCTAGATAAGCCAAAAGCATCATTCTGTTCTCAGCTCAGTGCCTCACTGGGTCCTAGGCACAGAGTAGGTACCAAGGATTCAAGATTGAACAAGGGCCAGTCTCTTCTTTCAAGGGGTTCCTAGTAGGTAGATAAAGGGTACACATATCTAAATAAATGCTGAGTGGTGCGATAAGGGCTATAGTAGAGATTTGAATGGGAGGCATCGAAGACACCAAGGAAGGAAGGGTTAGCTCTCCCTGGGAAGGTGAGGAAAGGCTTCCTGGAGAGAGTTGAGCTAAGTCTTAGAAGAGGAGTAAGAATTTCATAGAAAAAGCAGGAAGCTAAGAGCATTTTAGATGAAAGGAATAGCAAATACAGATTATTTTGTATGACTGACATAGAGTGCGATGTGGAGAACATAAAGAAACGAAGAGTCAGGGATCATGCCATGAAAGCTTTGTATGGGGAGCTCATGGAAAAGTCTTTGACAATCTTTCATACCATGGACAGATTTTCATTTTAGAAAAGCAACTGGATGGGAGCAGGAACCATAGCTGGAAGACCTGTTAGGAGACTATTACAGAAGTCCAGGTATGGTATGAAAAGGCCCACATCAAGGCACTGACATGAGGGATGGAGAAGAGCTAGTGAATTAAAGAGGCATCAGTTAGATTTGGTGTGAGGGACAGGTGGCAGATAGGATGACTCCCAGGATTGGTGGGTGTTTCTGGATTGGTGGATGGTGCTTACCAGAACAGGAACTAGTGTAGGAGAAGCAAGTCTAGGTAGGAAGATAGAGTTTATGCTTTTAGACATAATGAATTTGAAATGCCTTTAAGACACCCAGGTAGAAGTAAGCAGTGAGAGAAATGTGGTCTTCACTGTAGATACAGAAGCCAGGGTCCTCAGCTTGATAGGGAGTCAATTATCTGAGTTTGAATCTGAGCTTCACCATGATTAGCTGTAACCTTGGCCAAGCTACTTGTATTCTCTAAGCTTCTGTTTCTCACCCATAAAATGAGGATAATAATAGTATCTATATTTTGTGCAAGTAGTGATCATTAAGTCAGACGATGCATATAAAATGCTTAGAATGATGCCTACATAGTGAGCATTCAGTAAATGTTCGAAACGGATGGCACTGCATACAGAGAGTCCATAGGGAAGAGAAAAGGACTAAGGACTGAGCCCTAGATAATCCTAATGTTAGAGGCAGGGAGGGAAGAACCCAAGAGGAAGAGTGAGAAGGAAAGAAAGATGGGAAGAGAGCCCTGAAACCATGGTATCATTGACACCCAGAAAAGAGAGATTTTCAAAGATTAAATGGTCTGTGGAGTCAAATACTGTAATTAAATGGTCCGTGGAGTCAAATGAAGACTGAAATTGTCTACTCAAGTAGGTGGTAAAAATGTCCTTAGTGAATTTTGCCAGAGCTGTTTCTCTGGAACAGCACTTCTCAATATAGTACCATTAGCTACACACACGAATTGGACGGAGCAGACACCGAAGCTTCTATCATTATAGAAATAGGTGCTGTCGTTGTAGAAACTCCTACTGGTCAGCGCTGCTTTGAAAAGTGGATTGTGATTAGTCAGAGACTTTAGAGTGGGAGTTTGAGACTAAACTGGGTTCTTGTGCCTACTCAAGGCTGAACCTGAACATTTCAGAGTTAATTCATTCTTTCACCCCTAGCACTTGGTATGGGCATAAGTTCCAGGCAAACAATAAATTCTAACAGTGTTCTCATACAGTACATTTTTAAATCTTCCCCAACCCTAAGTCATAACATACTTATTGCAGTTTGCTTGAAATTAACCGAAGACAAGTGCAAACTGGACCATTTGGCATATTCAGCTGGGCAACTGCATGATCTATAAAGTGTTAGTGGCTAACAAGCCATGTTAGTGGCTAAAGAGCCTCAGGCTATAGTGACCACGTGGTTAACAGTGTTGTATTGGGGGTTCCAAAAGGGAGCAGTGGGCATGGGCACCTACTACTTCTAACAAAGAAAATCCATCATTGCAGTCAGTTTAAATGTTTTCAATCAGAAAGAGCTTGAATAAAGTTCTGTAGTTTGAACAGCAACAAGCATGTTAAAATTGAAATCTTGATCCACAGCCACAGTGGTTCTAGCAGTTGTTACTTTTAGACTCCCCAGTGCCTTTCCCCACCTCCCTCACCTTGGGCTGTGGGACCCCGTCTGCACTGAACTGGTTTCTAAGGAGTGGTTGTAAGAGATGTCAGTTCTTTTGGGTCTTTGCCACTTTGTGATGAATGCCCTCCCTGCCTCAGTCATAGGTTTCCTGGATCTTTGTAACCTTTAAAAACAAACAAACAAACAAAAAACTGCTAGAGGAATAAACTTTGGGCCTTGAGGCCACATACTCAATTCACATAAAAACCTCTCTCCCTGCTCTGGGGTATTCTTATATCAGACTTGGCTGCTAATACTGGCCCAGAGCCAATGACAGCTGCCTGGCCAGGGTAATCATTAACTTAAAATAAAGAATCCTCTCTGGCTCTACCTGGGAGAGAATGAAATGATAAATGTTAAACTTGACAAGTTACAGTTGTGGTTCCTGTGGTTAAAAAGATTTGGGGACCTATATTTATCTCTTTCTCTGGCCATTTTGGACTGGACATCAAAAAAATGTAAGCACCATCTACCCAAAACACACCCTGTTGTGGTTTTCTCATAACATTCATTTATCAAAGATTATAACTGATTAAAAGTAGGATACATTTTCTTATAATGAAAGGTAATTATAGAATTTGGGGCCCAGAAAGAGCTTGGAGGAAAAAGTAGCAGTGATAGTTTTTGTAGTGGTAGTAATAATACTAGCAGCAGTGGTAGTAGAAGCAATAGCAGCAGCTGCTGACGTAGCAGAAGTGGCATCAGTTTTTAAGAATCTACTAGGTCCAGGTGCTGTGCTGGGTGCCTTAAATGTGTTACCTCATTGAATCTGCACAGCAGCACTACAAAGTAAACACATTAGTTCCATCTTATAGGTGACAAACAGATTCAGAGAAGTAACTTGCCTAAGGGCAGGCTGTTAGTAAAATTTTTCCCGCCTATCTGAAGATTTATACTTCAGATGAAAGTCAATTTAGATACCTAAGGTTCAGTAAAGTAAGGTCAAGGTCAAAGAGCAGAGTTTTAACTAAATGGATTTTGAATCTCAAGCCCAGCCTCAGGCCATAGTGACCCCATGGTAAACAGTGATGTGTTGGGGGTTCCAAGAGGAGCAGTGGACATGGGCACCTACTACTTCTGACAAAGAAAATCCATCATTGCGGTCAGTTTAAATTTTTTCAACCAGCATTGAAACAAACTTGAATTTAACAACAAATACTTAAGTCAGAACAGATCCAAAGGATTGTGCAGGCCTGGAACTTTAAGAGGAATTGGGACAGCCCCAGAAATCTCTAACTTACTAGAAATTGGGTGGCCATAGCCACTAAGAAAAAACTTACTTATCTAAGAACTCTGGCCTGAGTTTAACCATACCCTCAAACACCACCTGTGACCCACACTGGGCAGATGAATGGGCACTGGAATCAGCTTTGTAAGAACTCTGAGGCTTTATGAACTCACAAGAATATGGATTTGTGGCTAGAATTGGGGATTCTTCTTGTCTAAATAGGCAGTTTCTGCATCTTTATCTTTCAACTCAGCGACATCCTGGAGACAGTTCAGGCTTTAGCCGAGAGTAAGGACGTGTCTCGAGAAAATGTCGTGGGTGTCCCCTTCAAGCTGACTCAAATCAAGGGACTTTTCAGGACCAGAGAGCCCTTGTTTCCTCCAAAGTGACCAGATTTAAGGAAGTTGCTGATAAAAACTGTACATTCCAAAGGGATGTGCCACATTTTATCTGCCCAAGAGGGATCTTTTTAAATACTTAGCAAAGTTCACATGGCTGCCTCTCCTGAATTCCAGACCTTTCTTTTGTACAAAGTGCATCCACTGGCAAAAAGGAGCAGTCAGGAATGAATGCTTATACCTTGGAGAGGAGTCAGCTATTTCTCAAGTCAGTGCCCTAAAGGGCATCTGCCAGAGATGTCAAGGGTCTTATGATGTTGAGAAAGTGAATAAAACCTCCTTAAACACTTGAGGTTTTAGCTTCACCTAAAATGCCCTTGTCCATCTATCCATACCACTATCCCTCTACTATCCTTCAAGGTAACGTAAATCCCTGGCACATATTAGATTCTCATTAAATGCTTGATGGGTGAGTAGACAGAAGTAAGTAGGTGGAGAGACATTTGTCATTTGTTCAGGAGAGATGGGTAGATAGTCACCCATCCCAGTTGGTAAACACTTGCCTTCCTCTTAAATATATCTCTTGCATGTTGTGTGCCTCATGCAGCCCTTGCATTAGAGTGGTTTGCCCTATTTCCCCTAGAACAGTGGTCGGCAAACTGCGGCTCGCAAGCCGGGGTTTGCCGACCACGGCTAGAAGATCATACTCTCCTCAGTCTCCCACAGCCCTTTAATAAGGCAGAGCTGGTGCTCAGCAGATAACAGATTCTGACTGGCCAATTTGGGGACAGACCAGTAACAGCCATTGGGACTGTTTCGGGCCAGGGATCCTAAAGGAAGAAATGGGTATCTAACTCCTTTCGTGCTGGTGTGTTTTGGCTACAGTGTCACAGCCACAGCTGCCAGCATCGGAGCTGCGGGTGTACCCCAGGCTGGCCTGGTGACCATGGTAATTGTGCTGAGTGCTGTGGGCCTGCCCACTGAGGATGTCACCCTGATCATCGCTGTCGACTGGTTCCTGTGAGTTGGAATAAAGTGCTGCAGAATCTGCAGTCTGTCATCATTCTCTCTTCAGATTGCCTAATGAGCCATCTGTTGCTGCTATCATTTCCCTCTGACCAGGCCATCTGATAATGTGGTTAAAAATTAACTCCCCGTAACTTCAAGCAGTGATTTTAAAAAGCCAATGATCTCTACTAGCTCATTATACCTGGAAATGCTCAAGGTTAAGAGCCTGGCATTGGACAAGATAAACACAAAACAATATAGTGAAGAAGGTAGGCAAGGCCCCAGACATTCCAAACCCCAGAGGCCACCCTGGCCTATCCCAGCCCTAGGTCAGCAGCATAGGTTCAGACCACCTGGTTCAAAATCAGCCTATCTTCCCAGCTTCAGACCATCAGGGGCAGTGGCACAAGCAAAGGCTTTGCAATAAGACTGACTTGGGTTTGAATCCCTGATCAGTGTCTTAATGGCTTTTGACCTTAAGTTTCTTAACCTCTCTGAGGTCCTGTTGCATTATCTGTAAGATGGGAAAGATCCCGTCTATCTCATTGGGTTGGTTTAAGGACTGAGTGAGCTAATGTGGGAGAAGTATCTAAAACGGTGTCTGGAAAGCAGTATGTGCTCAATAAAAGGCAAGTCTTAATTGTTATGACTAGAATAAGTCAGACCATTCAAGCCAATAATTCTTTCTCTCTCTTTCTCTCTCTCTCTCTCTTTCTATTTCTCTCTCTCTCTCTCTCTCACACACACACACACACACACATGGCTAAGGAATACAGCAGAGCATCTGTGGTATGTTCAGGGTAAGGTTAAGAACGTGCCTTTTGTGACCCTGAAGGTTAAAGTTAGAACAAGCCTGATTCCACCTCTGTCCTTGGTTAACACCCACATTGTGCACTGATCTTCTGGCATCGAGGTCTCTGTCCCCTGGCCATCAGGGGTAAGTGTAGCTCCTTAGCGAGCCTTCACTCAGAGCCAGCCAGGCTTACTGGGGAGTCCAGTGGTGTGCAGTTTGCAAGTGGCAGCTGAGAATGAGGAAAGGGAAACATTCCATATGGGTGTGAAGATACAGTCATGTCCCTAAAGGCAGAAGCTCCTGCACAGGGAAGCTGTCCCTTAGTGGCTGCTTGGTTCTACAAAGCCCTACTCAGGTGGCACGTTTCTTGCAAAGGTACCCAACCATTGAGGCAAATGCTTTAATTTTTCTAATGGTGTTGGTGGATTTGCACTTCTCTCCTTTCCCTGGTTCTTCCTGGAATTGATGACCTTCACTCCAAGATCCCAGAAAAGTCAAAGGTTTAGTTTGATCCATGGTCCATTCTAGGGTCTAGTTCAACCCATAGCCTTGTTCTGTGTAACAGCAGGGCATCCAGAGTGGACATGTGTAAGCACTGTTGGCCTTTTCTGTCCTGCAGGTGTAGTTTTCATAAGGATATTCATGTACATAGTTTCTACCAACAGTGCTCTAGCATCCTCTCACCAGGATGCCTTCCCTTTCTACACAGCTTCCTGCCTTCAGCCTCTTCTCCAGGCTGTCTGGGAGTAAAGACTAGCTGGGGGTGCCTCAAAGAGAAAGACATTCCCAGGCAAGCCTGGTTTTCTGACCCTGAGATCTGTGGCATCCCTGCTGGCTTATTCATGGAGTGACTTGGTGTGGTAAAGAACTAAGTATACCAGGGACACACAAACACAAGAACACCTGGACACATACCATGTGCCACCCACAAAACATCCAAGTTCTCTCAGAGAGCCCGGAAATGTTCACAAAACAGAGGTTAGGGGTGAAAGATTTATGGAATTTTGACTGTCCCAAAATAATCTGTGAATACTATTCCCATTTCTTTGGGAAGAAAAGAGGGAATTCAGGTAAATTGGTGCCAAAGTTTGGGGAGTCATTGTGACATTGGGAGCACAGGCCGGGGGAGCTGGGTTGCTCATTCTGTCCCTTTATGAACCAACTTCTGCTCCAGGCCTGTAAGGAGAGGAGCCTCTGGTCGGCCAGCCATGAGGACAGCACTTTCTGCATTTGCTTAACTTGTAACTCAACACTTCAGGTCCTTTCTTCTCTCCAATGGCTAGGGAAATGAAATCTGGGCCTCCTGTCTGACTTACCCTCTCCCTTCCCCAGGGACCGGTTCAGGACCATGGTGAACGTCCTTGGTGACGCCTTTGGGACGGGCATCGTGGAGAAGCTCTCTAAGAAGGAGCTAGAGCAGATGAGTGTTGCATCTGACGTCAACTTCACGAACCCCTTTGCTGTGGAAACCACAACAGTCGATAATGAAGACTCAGATGCCAAGAAGTCCTATGTCAACGGAGGCTTTGCCATCGACAGATCTGACGCCATCTCATTCACCCAGACCTCACAGTTCTAGAGCCCTGGCTTCAGGTGACTGGGAATGATGAAGGACATCTCTCAGTGAATTCAAACATTAAGGAAAAGAAGAACACTAATGGCCAATTGTACATTTGACCTGATACACAGACCTCCAAATTACTTTCTATATTTGGATTCAGAACTTTTGCTCTCTATGTTCTGGGACTTGGGGGTGGGGTAAGAGAAAAGGAAATTGATGAAAAAGCAAGCTATATTATCTGGAGTTTTAAAATTCTACAAGAGACGAAGTTTAGAAGTATATAACATAGCAGCTGTTGGAATTAGGTAACAGATGTGAAAGCGCAATTGCTTTCTCACGCACACACCAGTGTTTGGGGTTTTTAAAAAACTATTCTGTCAGTGACTACAACTTTTTTACTCAGTCTTTCTATGGCATGGATTTCCTTTGACGTCTCACATTTTTTATAGATTTTAATGCATCCAAACCATCCCTCTTCTCTAGTTAATGTGCCAAATTGTCCATTTTGAACTCATCTCCAGCCAATTTCAAGAAACTGCTTTGACAGAAAACAGATCAGCACAGTTCTGCAATAACAGTTTTAACCCCTTCCCCGGCAGAAACGTGTATACACGTTTTCACAAAATGTTCTTTTTTCAGTCGTCGACGAGTATACTCGTCTAAAACTTTACCTTCAAAAACCAGCTACATACGTACCATTCTAAATAATTTCCATCTAGAAACTTTCTGAGGAAATAGGAAATACTATTCTTAACCACAAAAATGGGAAGAAAAAATAATTTCAAACTGTTTTCATAACCAGCATCAAAAATACTATATAGAACCAAAATAAAAAAATTAGTCTGAAAAAGAAACGTTTTTAACAAAAAAATTGTTGGGGAAGGGGTTAAGATGAGTGTCAGGTCTCGGGGGAAGGGAAATCCTTTTTTCAATGTACTGTATTGGGACACTGGTAACTATTAACCTAACCCAGTGTTCAGTGTAGAACTAGATAAAGACACACACACACACACACACACACACACACACACTAGGGGCCCCGTGCACAAATTCGTGCACCTTGAAAGAAACTGTGGGCCACAAGGTTGCGGTGGGCACAGGGGTGGGTCTCAGCCCATCCTCCATGGCTCCGCCTAGCCCCTCCCACCATGGCCCCCAGTCCCCTCTCCGCAGGCAGCCCCACTCCCACAGCTGCCGCTCCTACGCGCTGACCGTGCTGGCCCTGCTTGCACACACTGACAGCACGGAGTGATTGGGGCTGGTGCCAGGAGCAGGTGCGAGCGGCAGCTGCTGCCCAGATCACCCCTCAGGAGCAGGGAGAGAAGCTCTCAAGGGCGATTGGGGCCAGCAGCTACCGCTCGCACCCACTAATGGCGCCAGTCGCTTGGCACCTGCTGCTGGTACCAGGCCCAATTGCTGCGTGCCATCAGTGGGTGTGAGCAGAGCCATCACCAGCAATGAGTGCGAGTGCCAGGCGGGATTGCGGCGCACAGGAGCAAAGAATTTTCAATAACCACCAGAGGTTCACCCTGATGATAGCAACCGGCGTCCTGCCTTGGTCTGGTGCCCCTGCTCACCTGCTCCACCATCCTGCCGTGGCCGACCCCCACCATGTTCTGCGCACGCCCCCTGGTGGTCAGCGCACGTCATAGCGAACAGTTGTTCAGTTGTCCCCCGTTTCATCTATTTGCATATTAGGGTTTTATATATATATATATAGATATGTATATATTATTTTCATATAATTTGCCAGACAGAGATCAGAGTGGAACAGTCAATGTGAAATAAAGAGCTCTCCTAATACTTGAATATGAACTATGATTCTAATCCAGACCTACTCTGGGGCTTATCAGAACTCCTCTCTCAGGAGCACTAGACTGAGAAATCATGTTGTTCGATCATTTCTGCCCCAAAGCAGAGATGTGTTATGGTGATATTCTGATGTGGCATAGACATTCGTTACACCTTCTAAATTCTGCTGGGAGGAAATCATATCAGCTCTGTGTGAGATTATGTTCGAAGATGTCACTCACATAAGGCTGGATGTGTTTTTATCCAACTGGAAGGCTTCAGTCTTCCAAGGTCAGTAATACCCACTTAAAAATGATAGTACTTTGCCCTTTTGCACCCATCAGGGCCCAAGCAACAGTGGCAAGCTACCAGATAACTTGTATTTCAATACGAATTTGATAGGTTGAACAAGCCACATTGCCCAGAAAAGAACTATCCCTACCCTGGATTCTTGCAGAGTAACTCCCACAACCTGAGACCTTGGGATCAGTGGTTTAGGAAATCCTTCACTCGTGTGGCACTTGTCTCTTCCTCCAGAGAGGATTGTTCTAACTGACTAGCAGTCTAGTGATCTTGGCCCTGCTCGTTAAAATCCATCATTTGCCATTCCCCTGCTAATTTATGAAGATATCTTATTAAAGTCTGTGCTTCAGCTCACATCTTGTAAATAATGCTTAACATGACTTTTGTGTTTACACTGAGATCCAAAATACTTGTGCTTCTGCAGTACTGAGTAGCCACTTTAAGCCTGTGCTTTCCTATTTACCTAGTAAGAAACCAGAATTGTGCCAAAGAGCATGGAGACGTGAATACATGCTCAGTGTGGACCACCTGCACCTGAAGTCTACAGGAGCATGATACTGAATTGTCCAGTAAACATCACAGATATGAACCAGTAATTCAGTGTGAGTTTTTAAATGCAAAGAATGGTATTGTTTATAGAAAGTCAATCTAAATATAATGCAGTTGAGTTGGTAATTTATCTTGGGCTGAATGGTTCTACCCCCTTGGCAGGTTTCTCCGATTTGAGGCACCAGAGTTGCAGAGCTGTTCATGAACTGCGGGCCATCCTTATTTTGGAGTCCGTTTGTAACTGACCTCTTAACACACTGTGCTGTTAATTCATCAAAGAGAACAATGTTCCATTTCAGTCTCAATAAACATTCCCATCATTCTTTCTTCCCCGCCTTTCTCTCTTCTTTTATCTCACTCTGCTGGGTGTGGGAAGGTGGAGGCGTGGTCAGTTCATTCAGGTTGTAGACAGATTGTCATTTCCAAAACTGTCTTTATAGCCAAGAATGAAGAAGCAGGGCTGAGGGGGAGTAATCTAATTCTTCATGTTACTCAGTGGGGATTAAAAGGTTGAAATTCATTGTCATTACGGACAGCTTGCCCATACTTGATGACGGAGATGAAAAGGAAAATAGAATTTGCTTAGAAATTACTGTAATGGGGGAAAGTCACCATATTGATGGTGACTTGGTCTCACAGAAGGACTGATCCTGACCTCTGAAATGTTCCTACAAACGACGAATGGCTGTATTCAGAGTGCTCTTTTTTTTTTTTCTAAAATATGTTTTTATTGATTTCAGAGAGGAAGGGAGAGGGAGAGAGAAATAGAAACATCAACGATGAAAGAGAATCATTGATTGGCTGCCTCCTACACACCCCACACTGGCATGTGCCCTCACTGGGAATCAAACCGTCACTTCCTGGTTCATAGGTCAATGCTCAACCACTGAGCCCACCAGCTGGACTTCAGAGAGCTCTTTAAAGGAATGGCACAGTCCTGCCTGGAACCTTGGTCATGATGGGGTTCCTCCAGCAGACACACTGGTTAGTGACAGACAATACGGAACGGACAGCTCTCTCTGCCCCACTTAGTGTGTGTCTCATAAAAATGCTTATCACTGCCTGGTCAAACTAATTCGCAACAGTCTTCTCTTTTGGCAACATGGGATAAAATACCCAATAACACAACTCCTTACAGAGAGATCTGTTTGGAAAAGTTAGTGAACCTGGGTAGGGACCTCCATATGATTTTGATCTGCCCAGAGTATACTCATGAACAGAGCAAAGGTGTTATTAGCGCTGGAAAATAACTCTTTTCCCACAAAATCTTAGTGAGCCCACTGGGTACAATGCCTGTTATTTAAACCATAGCATTCTTAGAATAGTATGAAGAAACTGTGTTTGGCTTCTCGTTGGCAGTGGGCCAGCAACAGTGTTGGCTTTGCAGGTGTTTAAGAATCTTCCCTCCTGGTACAGAAAGAAGAAATGGTCATGCAGAGCCTTGGCAGAATTCTAGAAAGTTCTATGCAACAGAATATTCTGTATTCTCTAGCTGCCCAGCAAGGGACCCATGAGTAGGCATGTGGCTGGTCTCTTAACCATTTTGTGACCCTTGCCAGTAATCTAAGGCCTTGGTTTAATCTTCTGTGAAATGGTGATAAATCTTGCCCCTTGGGGCTGCTTTAAGTTAAATGAGAAAATGCGTATAATTCATTTAGCAGAGACCCTGTCACATGTTTGATAAATGCTAGTGCCCCCCACACCACACAAAACCCTTACACTCTCACCCCCATTTACATGGGCAACCCATGGAGATGCAACTTTAGTTGCTAGTCAGTGTTTTGAGACCTGTCTCAGTGATTAAAGCAAATAGTGCATCCAACCTAGTGAGACTTAATATATTAACAAATCCCATTCTATGAAGGGGAAACCGGACATTTTGATATAGTGTAAGACTTAGAATATTCTCTCCTGTAAAGTATCACATGGGCACTGAACAAAAAGCATCCACAGCTTTTTGGCTGTGGCCTGCGGCAGAGAGGTTTGAGATCAGGCTGTGTGAGGCGGGGCTGTGCATTCACATAGCACTCTTTCTATTAAGTCCAGAGATTTGTGACGTGAAGTTCACTTCTGCCAGGTCGGCCTGGCTGTCTCATGAGACTGTTCTCCCCATGCTGAGACTGGGCTCTGGGCCCCACGTGAGGTTTTTAAATTACCCTCTGTGGTAGGAAATGTGCCTCTCCCCCCTGCAATCTTAACTTTTTAAGTAAAAGCTGTATAATATAAACAAGGAGTAAGCCTTGTTTAATTAGCTTTGGGAACAATACATATTGATCCACATGTATCAAATTAGATGACTGTACATTAAGTGTATGAAGTTATTGATCATGAATGGAGATGACTGGGGACATTTCTCAGTGGCCCAGGCTAAATAACACCCCAAAAGTCCTAAGAAAGCATTCAGATCCATCTCACAACTGCTGACCGGTCCATTTCTCCTCGCTGGGAAAAACCAGTGCCACGTGTGATCTGGTGGTGGTCCCTCCCGGATCACCGAGACACTTGTCTACAAAGCCTCACTTGGTGTGCCAATTTTAAGATACTCCAAAATTCAGAACAGTTATTAGTAAACCCCCAAAGCCAAGATAAAATCAACACCCCTTTTTTTATTCTGTTGAAAAGGAAAAAGGAAAGCTGTGGCCTCTTCTAGAGAAGTTTGGTTTCCAGAAGTCCTCACCAGCCTGAAGCTAGAAAACTGTCCCCATGAGAGCAGAACCAGGATATTACACAGAGACACTAGAAACTAATATACAGAATCAACCAAACTCCTGAAGAGT